ACCCCAATATACGTTTAGACTATTGGTCAAGTGTCTTCAGACTCCGAATGCTATACACTAAACACTATTTTGGACCTAAGGCAATTAACTTTGGGAATTGGTAAACTCGTAAATCGATGTTTCGCCGACCTGGAAGTCTATATGCCGAACGACCAGTCCTGAACGGCGAACTCCTATGCCTCCAATCCCTAGAGCCTGAGGCCTCAAACCCCAAGCCCTAAAGCCCTAATCCATAAACCTTAAACCCTGCATCCCCAAACCCTAAGAACGCGTATCAACCCGCAAGACGGAACCCTAAACCCAAGGTGCGAACGCTGGCCCCGAACATTTTCCCCACCGGTTTCCTGTGTTCCTACTTGCGCATCCCTAGTTGGACTTCTAGGGTTTTATTGTGTATGTAATAGGCATATGACTGTATCTATATACCTAACTTTAATACCTGTATATCTATAATTACATGTTCCTACATTGGGGAGCCCCGCCAGCCGAGGCGGGCGCGCGCTAGCGTTTACAATTAGGCCTTGGATACTGCCCCCATTTAATAACAGTTGGATAATAAATATAATGTGGTTATATATAGCCCTCAATAGGGCCCCTAATATGGACTGTTACTGGGTGGGTGCAGTACCCAAATTAGGCCTATTTATCTACACATCAACATGGTGGACCTCTGAAGCTGTCAACTGGTCCTGGACGGAGGCAGGGACACTGGCATTCAGCGTCTCGATCCTGGGTTTGCTGTTAAGGAATTTAAATATTCTCCTAACCCAAAACCCTATATACCCCATATACCCCCACAGTATGGTAACTTGATGTAAGTTCTGTTAAGGAACTTAAATTCAGTTACTATATTGGGGAAAGCCCTATGATTTACTATATATATATATATCCTAAACCGTAAGCCCTAAACCCTAAATAGTAGCTTCCATGTTCTTCTCAATCATCCCTATGTAACCCTATGGACCTACTATGGTAATTTAACTTAAGTTCCTTGACAGCAACCCAGTTTAGGGATGAATATAGGATCCCCAAAATATCCGCGTAGACTGCATGGAACTGCTATAACCTTTGGGATGGTAGGGGATATGTTGGGGTTATATAGGGGTTTCCCAAAATTAGGAGTACCTTTTTGGGAATCCCTATAATGAGGATTATACTATTTAGGGGTCTATATTGGGCTTCCCCTGTTTAGGGAAACTACCATATAGGGATAATGGAAAGAAAATGGAAACTACGATATTGGGCTTAGGGCTTTAGGTTTTTGAGTGCCCAAATCAAACCCTAGATAGCAGTTTCCATTCTATTTCCCATTCTCCCAATATGACCCCTATATAATCCTTACATAACCCCTACATACCCCAAATATATCCCCTAGTATAATATGTTACTTTCCATGTTCTTTTCCATTATCCCTATCTAAGCCCGACATATTGGGTGTAGGGTTTAAGGTTATCGAGTGCCCGCCTCACAGAGGATTACAACTTCCGAAGGCATGCCAAGGCCGGACCGCGCTCGTGCAGCGCAAGGTCATGGTATAGTACTTTAATGCACTTCAAGAGGTGTGGGGGGTTAGATAGGGGATTATGTAGGGAGAATTATAGGGGATGATATATGGAGTATCGTAGGGTTAAATAGGGGATTAAATAAGGAGTAGTATAGGGCTTACTAAGGGGAATCTACAAAACCCTTTGCTAAACTGCAAGATTCGAAGCCAGTCCGCAAACGCAAACATCGCGAAAAACGAGTCGGGATCGACATCACGCTCTGCAGGATCCAAGTACTCCTGTGGGAGAAAACTGAAGGTCTCCCTTCTATACATCACCCAAAGGCAATTGCAAAAGAAATTCGGCCCCGGATTTAAGGACCCCCAAGAACATGCAAAGAACTTCGAAGTCATCCAGAATTTCGATCAACCTCTCTGTAGCCGGCCCTAGCTCAGGTAGAAGGATCCTCAGGCACTGTCGGCGGGAACTTGGCATGCACTCGAAATGAGCCGAGATCGTTCCTTCCCCTGTACTGCTCATAGATGTCTCTGTAAGACAACCGAGCGACATGATGCGACATGCGTCATGACCTAGGAAGCGCCAGGGAGCTTCATTCATGTCTCCTTCGCGCAGTTTGCAGTACCCACGCTTCATAGTTAAAACGGCGCACACACTACAGGTTGAATCTGAAAGCCACGATTGCATCCGTTATGGAGGCCCGAAGCCTGCGTTATACCTCCGCGTACCCTTCTTCATGTTTTCTCTGCCAGAAAGTATAAATGTATCATGATTGATGGAGCAAACGCAGATTTTCGAGGCGCAAATCTGAAGCCTGGCCCAACTTTAATAGAAATGGATGCCCAGGAATGGCACGCATCGACTTTCTGTTATTCTACGGTGAGTCAAGGCATGGATGTTGAATTGCAAGCACGGCCCAAGCTGCAAGTTTGCAGATCGTCCTTGTAGTTCTTCAAATTCAGGAAGTGAAGTTTGTAGTCCGGAGCCTGGCCAATTATGGTTGCTATAGGCCCAATCTTAAGCCTCAATATGTGTGTCAAGCGTATGTCCAAAGTCAAAAACAGGAAGCATTGCTGTAAAAAACAACACTTCGTGCAGTATGGAATGCTGAAGTTTTAGGCTCAGCAAGCTTTCACGCTTGCAGCTTTGGGTCTGGGTCTCAGGCGAGACATTAAAACTGCTCCGAGGCGGCAAAAAAACAAACACCTTAGTCTGAAAAGTTAACATATATGCATTTTTTCGCCCTGCCATTCATCTAAAACTCTTTGCGTCAGCTAATGTATATTCGAACGTAAGTTACTAGAGTTGCTGGACAACACGAACAGTTTGCGCCGTTCGCACGATTATGAGCTAAGGTTCTCGTCGTTGCTACTTGTGTTTGTTCGCATTCATAATTACACATAAAGCACGTAGAGGATCCCTGAAACCTATTCTACTCAGTCTGCTTCATGAACTGCCCCAGAGGCGCAAAGTGCTTCCAGGTGGAGCGCGCCAGCTGCGCCGCCTTTGGCACCTCGGGTGCAGGAGCTTTGCAACAGGTTCACGGCTGAGGGAGATAGCACAAATGTTAAACTAGAACGAGAATACTTGTGTATACTGATTCGAATTGTCAAAACACGGAGCAACGCCAATTCCCGTGCTACTAGATAGCTGACGCAACCCTGTAATCTGCAATGCTTTTTTGCTGGCATAGGCGGAGTTTGCAACTTCTTCTGAGTTTCTTCGGGATAAGAACCTGACACACCCACATTCAGCAAATGCCCCATAAGGTTCTACAAGCTTCTGTTCCTTGTTACCTAGTTATTGGAGCCTCAGCCAAAATGCCAAACCACAAAAACATATTGATGCCGAGCGACAAGAGCTTCATCGTGCCAGAAAGACCAGATCCTTTGTCAGGGTTTGATATTGGGTATAGGGGCAGACATAGGGACATGACTCTAATAATTGCGAATCGACTGGAAAAGCACGTGAAAGATGAAACAGAAACTGGGATTCTGTGGTGGACTATAGGATGTTGGCGCAGCAAATCACAAGTCATGTGATGCGATTGCATTCTGGGCTGCTCTGTTGTAAAAGGTGTCGGAACTTGGACAGCCCTCCGGGCTATCCGCTTCTTCTGAACAGCTGTTGACTTGTTGGTTGCCAATACATAGGCCATGAAGGAATGGAAAGCAAACATAAACTACTATCATGCTGATGGCCAGACTTAAGACAATATAGAGGCTACAACTAGGATCCATTCCTAAACCCTAAACCCTAAATAAGAACCAGTAAGTGTATTCACAGGAGGGATCTTGAAAGATCAGATCTGGGGAGTTATGCAAATTAACCCAGTCCATTTTGAATTGGGTAAGAATATGTATACAGGGTGTATATAGGGTTTAGGACAACTGGAAAAGAAACTGGTGGGGCTGTAGTGGAATCTATACTAGGTAAGGAGGGGACTTTGGGAACCCCAACCCCCCAACTTTAGGACACTATTGTATGTAATCATGATTCTTTTTTGGAATCCTAAGTTCGAGGGGGTTCGGCTACCCAAACCCGCTTATTACCTGCATCGTCCGCGAGATGGGCACCAACACTCCTCTAAGAATCCCATATATATAATTATACATATATATATATACACGTGGGGGTTTCAAGGTACGAACCCTTCCTTAGCGAACACTACCCGGTCCGTTGACTGGAACCTTGCCCTAAAACCAATGAATGCTCTTGAACAGAAGCCCACAGCTTTCAGTTTGCCCTCTAAAGTCTTTCGTCATTCTACACCCGAAACCACCCAAACCCAACAATAGACCCCCTCATCCCAAAACCCACACACCAAGTCGATAGGCGTTATAAGCCTTATAGGACGAGCTTCAACTTTGGAACCTGGGGGGCCTCTGGCTGCGCAGTCGATGCAACCTGCAGCAGCAGTGGCAGTCGTCAGATATGATACGCCCTTGCTGAATCCCTGCCAGCCTGAAGCTTAGGGGAGTGGTGCTCAGAGTTAGACTTGAATTAGGGCCGAGCTCTCTGAATTCGCAATGACGCCCCTGTGGCGTTTCAGTGCCAAAACAAGGCTAGAAGAGATGCGACATATTCGACAGGACGCAGGCGGGTTTCAGACGAGAACTGAACAGGCCTCAAGTCGGCAGGCTTGCTGAGCCCAACTTCAATGAGGAACACCTGCTGGCCTATGACTGTTTGGTTTGAGTGGCGGAGGCATGCAGCGCAATGAGGGCTAGATACCACCACGGCGCCATGACAGCCAGGCAAGCGGAGAAATGCAAGTCTGCATGTGGGGCTTGAAGGGTTTAGGGTTGACGTCCGCGCTTTGGCTTTAACACTTAGGGTCTTGCAAGCGAGGGGTAGAGTATAGTGGGGAGTTGTTAACGAGGAAGGCTGCGCCGCCAAGACGAGCTTGCCCGAGATTGTCAAATGATCCAAGGCTCGTATGTCCCTGCTGGAGCATGTAATTCGTCTAGGCAATTTGTTGCTGTAGCATGACGGCTGCGAAAGGGAGGAAAAGTACGGATGAGCAAAGTATGATGGCAAAATCCCAAACCCTGTCAGATCAGGCACTGTACTTACCTTGCTTCAAGCTACTGCTCCTTCAAAATTGATTACGACTTTTTGTCGTTTGTAATGTGGCGGGGGTTTAAGTTGTTTGCAAGGAATTCACCAGTTACCTATGCGACAGTTGCCTGCCAGCCAGCGTGAGGAGGCTCGGCAGTTAAAAAAAATGTCACGGGAAGTCGCAGTGAGATGTGATGATTGGGTCTTGCACCGGCAAAATAAAGAAGCCGCTCATGCATGAGTGAACAAGGTGGCTCAACCTTCATAGCACAAGCAGACACTTGTGAAACCGGAGGGAAACTGCAGCTTTGAAGCGGAACACAAGTAATGTTCCAAACATGTAAGGAACAAAATGTCTCAGTCATGTCCTCGTTCCTTACAATCAAACCATGTCTCTCGGTGGGTGGCCATCCCTATCTGAAACTCTAAAACTCCAGATCCATTCTTTTACAACTCTGCGGTGTATCCACAATCTCCGCACTCTCCACAGTGGCGGTGCCATTCGCGCGCAAGCGCAAAGCCAGCGAGGGACAAAATAAGCATAGATGAGGCATACCTGAGTTTTATAAGAAACTGCAGTTACGCGAAGACTAACGAAACCGGACATCACGATGGTAAGAGCTGCATCAATAATCGGCAGAGTCGTCATTGGTAGCATCAATAGCAGCAATATCAGCAGAAGCGGCAGCGGCACCAGCAGCCGCAGCAGCAGCAGCAGCAGCAGCAGCAACAGCGGCTGTAGCAGCACCAGCAATGGCAATGACGGCACAAAATCCTGGATCCTAAACTCTATTTGACGACCTTGACCACAAGCCAAAACCTCAACCCCGAAATCGCAAAACTCGAAGTCTGCCCTTTGAACGTTGAAGCTTTCTACCCGAAACTTCTCTCTCCCTCTTTCTCTCTCCCCCTCGCTCTCGCTCTCTCTCTCTCTCTCTCTCTCTCTCGCTCTCTCTATCTCTCTCTTCCGTAAACCAATCCAAACCCCCACAGGCTAAATCGAGATGCATCCAGTTTTTGGGAACTGTGGGCTCTTCTTCCGCTGGTGGATGCCAATTCATGCCCCAGGCATGGATACTGAAGGGTTGGTAAGGACGTTGAGGTTTAGAATTCATAGCACCCTACAGGTTATACAGGCGCGTCTAAACAAAAAGCAAGGACGTAGGGGGTCCAGGTAAATACTCCGAAATGTTTACGTGAGGGTACGTAAGCTGGGCGAAAGGCAGGTGCAGGCCACACACCTTGCAATTAAAATCGAACTGTGGCTTTGAAGATTCCAGAGATGTTGAGATTAAGGGGTACGTAGCACATACTTGAAGAAGCCAAACCGCTTACACCTTGCTCTGAGCTGTTGACAGTTCGATTTAGGATTTTAGTGGCTTGGATTTAATTCCCATTCCTCAGACAACGCATCCTGCGGTTTCCTGCGCGAGTTGTAGAATTGAGGATAGGTGGCTGCCACATTGCCCCTTTTTTTACCCTGATATAATATACACCTGCATAATCCTAGTTGCCAGCTCATTTTCCCTGTTTTTCTATTTCTCCATTGTGAGCCCTAAGCCCCAAGCCCCATACATGTGGCCAGGCATCTGGCGTTCCTGGCCCCCCCATGGAATGGTCTGGGAGGGGGACGGCCATGAATGCGCGGAATCTCCTTATCTGTCGTCGTTTTTGGCCCTTCGTGATCTCAAAAGTGCCAACGGTCACAGGGACTGTGTGTCTGGAAGGCGCCATCTTGTGATTGTCGTCACTTTTGGAGTCTGTGTACAAGATACCAAACATGCCGACAGTTACAGGGATGGGCCAGTTTGGGGCACAATCCTTGAAGCTGTGGTAGATTTGGGTATTTGAACACTGCATAGGAATGAGAATCCATCTCAATATCAACACCTAGGAGAATCTTTAGATAATCCTGTTTAATCCATGTAAATATCTTCTGTCATCCCCATACCACGTAAACTTACAAATGGCCTACGTCATTCCTCAATTTGTAACACTCCA